ATCTGCACTCGCTGCAAACTAATCTACAATCCCTGCAACCACAATCGATCATCATCGCTGCCCTGCCCAACCGACCTCAAGCGACCCTCATCGCTGTCATGCAACTCCATCCCTGCACCCCCCCGAACAACCATCCCTACACCAAGCGATCATCATCGCTGCCCCTCCTCCACCACTCCCTATTCATAGCCATAATCGGCTATCTAGTCGTGTGCGAGCACACGCATGCAGGCTGCATCGTCGCAGCACCCCTGCCGATCAAGTGTGGATGCCGAGCTTCTTCTCCTGTTTGCGCACCCACTTCTTAGCCGCAGCGATCGCCTTGTCGCTGCTGCCGCCGTGGTCGCTGAACTTGATGGCCGTCGACTGGCCTGGACCTTTCATACCCGTGCGGCACATGACCTGGTTGCGGGACCATTCCACCGCATATGCGGGTTTCGGTGGTTTCTTGACCCCCTTTGCGCCCACGTGCTTGGCCTCAGTCTTCTTCTTCTTGTTCTTCCTCTTCGCATTGGCCTTGGCTTTGGGGGGCGCGGGGTGGCCGTCGCCAGCGGCCTTGCGCTTCTTCTTCATCGGCGGCGGCGGCTCCGCCTCCTCCACGCCGTCGGCGCTCTTGTTATCGGAGTCGCCCCCGTCGCTGCCCTCCGACTCGTCTTCGCTCGGCGGCGTCTTGGCCACATCTGGCAGGCATTGTTTGCCGCCGAGCTTCGCGAAGATCTTGTCCCTGGCCTCCTCCGCGCTGTGCGTCGTCGGCGGCGGCGCCGACTCCGTGTCGCCGATCGGAATCGCGCCGTCCGTGGCGGGCGCAATGGGCTGCGGAGTGTAACGCCTGCATGGCACGCCGTCTCGCGCACCTTGGCGGCCGCCACCCTGCATCGTCATCGCCCTTTCCGCGAGCTGCAACGCCATGTCGACGGACGACCGATTGCCATCGGACGTGGCCTTGAGGCGAGCCTTGGACTCTCGCATCGGGACCGCGTCGCACAGCACCATCAACATGGTGCGGTCCAGCGGGCACTCGTTTGCTGGGGCCTCCCCTCCGCCACCATACGCGCGCGAGTACCACTCGGGGTGCACCTTCGGCATGTCAGTCGGGTCCGCAGGGAGCTCGCTGACGAAGGACGGCTCGGTCGCGGCAAGCTGCTTACACAACTTCCACGGCAGGAGCTTCTTGGCGTATGTTTTCGCCCGCTTGAAATAGCCCCACTGTGCCATCGGACACATGCGCATCGTCCAATCGAAGCCGTCCACGAGGAGGGCGACGCACGCCGCCAGTTGAACCGTCGGCTCATGCAGCGTGCGCCACCCGAGGGATTTGCAAGCCTGCAGGACGACCGCAACCCGACCCATGAAGTCGTTGCGCTCGTCCAGGATCTTGTCCCACTGCCTCTTCGTGAGGTAGGCGAGGATGGACGAGAAGTCCTGCATCGGCGTCCTGCCCGACCCCGCCAGCTCCGCGCTTGCGGCCGCGTTAGCGGCCAACATTTGCGCTGAGGCCGTCGCCAACGTCGTGACGCGGCCGAGCAGCGTGGCAAGCGCCCTCTTGCCGAAAGGCATCTGGCCGATCTCCAGGACCAGCATGGCCGAATCCTCGGCGGAGATGAAGGCCCACGGCGCCATGATGGCCATCGCCATGGCGCTCTGCGCCTCCGCGATCTCCTTGTACGCGTCGGACTTCTTCCCGATCTGGGCGAGGACCGACTTGGCGGCCTTCAGCTGCTTCACCAGGTCGGCCGCCATGGCGCCCGCGGGCGTCACTCGCGTCGCGCACGCGGGCGTCACCCGCGACTACAAAGCCGACAACGGCTATGCACAGCGATCGTTCAAAACGATTGCCGCCTACTTAAGTTAGCGATCGGTATCGCTTCTCTGCTTCTCCCTCCTCCTCCCCGCCCTCCCCCAAGCGATCGCTGTCGCTTCTCCTTCTCCTCCTACTCCTCCTCCAAGCGATCGCCATCGCAACCTCCCCCCATCCCCCTCCTCCTCACACAAGCGATCGCCATCGCTACATCCCCCGTCCCTCCCCCTCCTCCTATGATCCCTCCTCCACCTCCTCCTCCTCCTCTCTTGTTTTTGCAACCCGTAGGGTTCGGTCCGTGCACGTCCTACTCCCCCCTCCCCCCCTCCCCCAAGCGGTCGCCATCGCTGTTCCCCCCGTCGCCCCTCCTCCTCCTTCTGGGGGAGGTGAAGCGACGGCGATGACGATGAGGAGAAGGAAAAAAGATGAGGAGAAGGAAAGCGATGTCGATCGCTGAAAGGAAGGTGGATGATGATAAAGGAGATCACTGAGCGCCGCGCGCAGCCGCTCTGCCTCGTGGAGGCGCGCGGGGCTCGCGCGCGCGGGGCGCGGAGGCGCGATGTGGGGTGCTCCGCGCGAGCTCGCGCAGGGGGCTCGCGCTTTGGCGCTCAGGCGCCAGCGCGACAACCTGCTGCAGCAGCTCGCGGAGGCGGATGCCCCCTCCTCCCAGCGATCGCCATCGCTCTCCCCCGAATCCTCCTCCTCCGCTTCCTCCCCTTCCTCCTCCTCCACCTCGTCCTTCCCCCTCCTCCCCCTCCTCGCCCCTCCCCCCACCCCCTCCTCCCTTCACTCCGCCGCCCCTCTCCCCCTCCCCCCGCCTCTGCAGACTGTCAACGCGGAGCAGGCAGAGCGCGCCGTGCAGCTCTCGCTGTGGCTGGAGGAGGCGGGAAACGACGACGACGAGACGACGACGACGGCGGCGGCGACGACGACGACGAATGAGGCGGAGCGCGAGCTAGCGATCGCGATCGGCGAGAGGGACGCGGCGCTGCGGCGGGAGGCGGAGCTGAAGGCGGAGAACGCGCAGCTGAGGAAGGAGGCGCAGGGGGCGCAGCTGCTGCGGAGGGAGGAGCAGGCGCGCCTTCAGGCGGAAAATGCGCAGCTGAGGGCGGAGAAGGCGGAAAAGAAGAAGAAGAAGAAGGAGAAAAAGGAGAAGAAGGAGAAGGGGGCGGCGGCGAAGGCGAAGGCGGCGGCGAAGGCGGCGAAGGCCAAGGCGGCGCGCGCCGCGGCGAAAGCGCCAGCGGCGGCGAAGGCGCCGCCAGCGCCGCCAGCGGCGCCAGCGGCGGCGAAGGCGCAAATGCCGCCGCCGTCGACTCCGCCTCCGCGGTGAGGCCGCGCGCCCGCAAGCGCGGAGCGCGCCGCGCGCCCGCAAGCGCGAAAACAAAAGACCAGCGATCGTAATCGCTATCCCCTCGTCCTCTTCCCCCCACCCCGCCCTCCCCCAAGCGATCACCATCGCTTCTCTTCCTCCTTCCCGTCCTCATCCTCCTCCTTCCAAGCGATCGACATCGCTTCACCTCCCCCAGCGATCGCCATCGCTTCTCCTCCTCCTCCTCCTCCTCCTCCTCCTCCTCCTCCTCCTCCAAGCGATCGCCATCGCTACCTTCCTCATCCCCCTCCTCCTCACCCAAGCGATCGCCATCGCTTCTCCTCCTCCTCCCCATCCAAGCGATCGACATCGCTACCTTCCCCATCCCCCTCCTCCCCACCCAAGCGATCGCCATCGCTACCGCGGCGAGCACCCACCAGGCGGCGCCGCGACGAGCTCCAGGTCGATGGGCAAATCCCAAATCCTGAAAAACCTCTTCAAATCCAGGTAACCTCCCCAAATCCAGAAAACCTCACCAAATCCAAAAAAAGATTCCCCCAAATCCGAAAATCGTTCCTGAAAACTACATCCACCTCCTCCTCCTCATCCCTCCTCCCCCTCCTCCTCCTCCTCCTCGTCCTCATCCTCGCCCTCCTTCTCGTCCTCTTCTGCGTGGGGGCCGCGGGCCGCGACGTCCCTGCGGCGCGGCGGGCGGGCGCGCGGCGGGAGGGGAAGAGAAGCGAAGGAGGGATGGAAGGAAGTTATAAGTTACTTATAAGTAACATATATGTTACTTATAAATATTGCATCTCAGCACGGGTAAGTAACTTATCGGTAGTTATAAGTATCTTCCAGCGTCATTAATAATCAGCGAAATACTTATAACTAACCTAAGTATAGTTATGCGACAAGACAAATACTTAAGGGCACATAGAAATAGTTAGACATACTTAGGTACTAATCCCTTGCTGTAAGTATCTTATACCTAGCTGTACCTATGGTGCAACTAGCATAAGAACCACCATTCTCGAAGCACTCAGCCAAATCCTCGCTGGGACCCCCACCACGCTTGACCCTCGCCCCGACCCCCACCGAGCCTCCTGGGCCCCCTGGGCACAGGGTTCTCCTGGGTTCGAAGTCGACCCCCCACTCAGCACTCAGCAAAATCCTCGCCGGGACCCCCACCACGCCTGACCCTCGCCGGGACCCCCACCGAGCCTCCCAGGTCCCCTGGGCACAGGGTTCTCGCGGGTTTGAAGGACCCTCCACTCAGCAAAATCCTCGCCGGGACCCCCACCACGCCTGACCCTCGCCGGGACCCCCACCGAGCCTCCTGGGCCCCCTGGGCACAGGGTTCTCGTGGGTTTGAAGGACCCCCCACTCAGCAAAATCCTCGCCGGGACTCCCACCACGCCTGACCCTCGCCGGGGCCCCCACCGAGCCTCCTGGGCCCCCTGGGCACAGGGTTCTCGCGGGTGTGAAGGACCCCCCACTCAGCAAAATCCTCGCCGGGACCCCCACCACGCCTGACCCTCGCCGGGACCCCCACCGAGCCTCCTGGGTCTCCTGGGCACAGGGTTCTCGTGGTGCTGTACTCGTTTGAACACAAGAGGTAGGTTTAACCATTTGAGTTCACCTTCCATAGCGTGAAGTAGACGGCGTAATCTGCCATATCTGGCTTCAGTCGTCGTAGCGCGTTGTCCACGCGCGCGTATCCTCAGCTCAGTGCCCTTTGCCTTGAGGACCGCTTTCGCAGTGTCGTTGTCAAGGGCACCCTCCCCGCTCCTCCGCCCCCTCTGCCCCCCCAGTTCGGAGGTCCTCGCCCCAGAGGTCTCCGCGGGCCCAGAAAAAGGGCCAGAAACATCCTCGACGCCTGGGGGGGAGGGGGGGGAC